GAGAAGTTGTGGAGAAGGAATAGACAAGGTCTGACAACCTGACTGAATATAAGCAGGGAAGAAGGAAAAGGCCATAGCAGTCATGTCAGGAGAAAGTTTTTTATCCCGATGAGGATATTCAGTCTGGTGGAGGTGTTAGGTGCTACCCTGAGTATGTGGATTTGGGGAATCATCTTTGTGTAAATGGTAGTTGAAACCATGGAATAAAGAGAAAGCAGAAGAGGACCGAGTCCGCCCCTGGGCAAAGCTGCAGTAATGGTTGAGGGGAGGCAGAGTAAACAACAGTTGGGAAGGCGAGAGGAGATCTCGGGTGTCACTTAAAGAAACTGAGGAAGGAGAGAATTTCAGAATCGAGGGGATTGATTATCTGTCAAACTCTAATAGAAAAGCTGAGGAGGATGAATGCTGAAAAGAGGAGTTATTGTGTAGGGTGAAAATTTTTAGAGCTGATGGGATCGGGTTTATGTAGGGAAATTGAGGAGAGGGGCCTTAAACACCTTAATTAAACCCATTTATTGCCTTCTAATTGGCTTAATTTCATAGAGTAGTATGTCATTATGCTTAGAAGATTAATTTACGTTTATCATTTTGTAATTACATTTTTAAAGAGGGAAAAAGAATAACGGCCAGAGGTGATTTTTGTGGGGAGAGAGCGGTGAGAACTTATGCAGAGTAGGTACACTTTCCATTTTTTGAAGTTGAAAATTTTTTTGTTTGTTGAGCCTTTTAATTTGAAGCAGTTTGAATAAATAACATGAAACATGTTCTTTCTTGAAAATGAATAGGATATATCTCAGAGTTGACATGTTGAAAATCCATTTATTAAGGTTAATTCTCATGGATATTTCTTTAAGGAATATATATATAAGTTTAGCATCTGAAAGTAGGACATATAAATAACCATAATTTATAGCAAAAAAGCACAATTAGAGAAAAAAGAAAAAGTGCTGTGCAAATTCAGAGAAGGGAGAGATCATTTTCAGCTCTTTGTTTGTAGGCAAGGGGATTTGGGGGAAAGGTCCAAGCAGAGATGAGAGGGGAAACGTGTTCCAAGTAGAAGAAACCCTGAGCCAAATATAGAGTTGGGGTCTTAGGGGTCATTGGGCATTTTTGTTTGGCTGCGTGCGGTGGTGGGAGGAGGCACTTGAAGGAAAGTTAGGGGAGATAACTGATGGAAAGATAGTTTGGTGCCGGAACTTAGAAGATGATAGGAATTTGAGCTTCATCTGGAGGTAGCAGGGAGCCCTTAAACATTTTGAACAGTGGAATGACATCACCTAGTTTATGCTTTAGAAAAATGACTGTTTCTGTTGTTTGAAATTTTAATAAGAAGCATGCAGCACTTATATCATGAGCAAAAAATGATAAAGGTAAAAGAAAGATGTATATAATTTAATCCATTTAAGTTGGATTAGAAAGTGAGAAAGTAGAGATAAGGAACCTATGAGGAAGGAGGTTTATGCAATACTTACAACATGAGAAAACCACGGTCCCTGATGTCTGCTCTTTTGAAACTGTGATTACTATTAAGTAGTCTATTATTTAATTGCTGAAGTTCTTTTTGTTGTAAATTTTTGGCTTACATAGAAAAGGGAGTGTTAAGGTTATTGGGATGTCTTGCAAAAACCCAAGGTAGATAAAGTTCTGTAGCTGGACCTCAGAAAGGTCTAGAAGCAGGAGCTAAAAAGCTATTGGTAAGCCTCCCCTCCCTGCTCCCTCTACTCTGTTTCTCAGCACATTCATGGGATTCTTTTTATTTTTTATTTGTAAACTTTATCTCACTAGTCTAAGCCGAAGTTGGAAAAAGGCCTTCCTCAGCTCCTATCTTCCAGCCACCAGAAGAGAGAGAGACTGAGATTGACTGACCCTTGCTCATGGTTTCAGATTCTCAAGGATAGGACTTTGATTTTATTGTGCTCAAAGATGAACTTAGTTTTACCATTTTATAGCTAGTGCCAATCAGCTATGTCCAGGAGAGTATAAATACACTGTGGGAATTTGCTTCTCTAGATTGGAGGGTTAGTTAAGAGAGGTCATTGTGAGTTAGGCAGAAATCCCAAAGGATGTTTACTACAATTATGAACTTCATATTTTTACTGTTGCTTAATGTATTGGTTAAAAGATAGCAGACTACATTAAATTTAGAGAAGTAATATGAAAATCATACAGAAATTTCCACCCAGTAAGCTACAGAGTGTGTTTAAGTTGAACGCTTATAAAACCAGTTATCCTTGTGGGAGTGTCGGGTGTACAGACTGAGAGGAGACGAGAGTACTGGGGTGCTGGAAATGTTCTGTATCTTGATCTGGGTAGTATAGTGGTTACGCAGGTTTATGTGTGTGTCAAAATTCATCAAGATGTGTGCCCTTGATGTTTGTAAGCAGTATCTCAATTAAACAAAGTCTAGGCAAAGGTGACTTGTTTGATTTATCTGCCTTCCTTTGTCATATAGATAGATGCCCATATATCATTTTGATAGATGTTCTTCTGTCATATAATTTTGAGTGTTTCAGAAATCTAAATATCATGATGACATTTTGTTTGTTTCATTTTTTTTGTTGAGTTCATAATAGTTTACATCAATGTGAGATTTCAGTTGTACGTTATTTCTTGACTGTCACCACGTAAGTGCTCCCCTTCACCCCCAGTGCCCCCCCAACCCCCCTTCCCCTAGTAACCACTGAACTGTTTTCTTTTTCCCAGTACTTATTTATATTCCACATATGAGTGAAATCATATGGTGTTTGTCCTTCTCAGACTGGCTTATTTTGCTTTTCATAATTCCCTCTAGGTCCTTCCATGTTATTGCAAATGGGATGAATTTGTCTTTTTTTCTGGCTGAGTAGTATTCCATTGTGTGTGTGTGTGTGTGTGTGTGTGTACACACACACATCTTTAATCATCGGTCGATGGGCACTTGGATTGTTTCCATGTCTTGGCCATTGTGAATAGTGCTGCCCTGAACATAGGGGTGCATATGTTACTTTGGATTGTTGATTTCAAGTTATTTGCTTAGATACCCAGTAGTGGGATAGCTGGGTCATATGGTATTTCTATTTTTAGTTTTTTGGGGAATTTCCATACTGTTTTCCATAGTGATTGCACCAGTTTGCATTCCCACCAGCAGTGTGTGAGGGTTCCCTTCTCTCCACACCCTCTCCAACATTTGTTATTTTTGGTCTTAGTGATTATAGCCATTTTAACAGGTGTAAGGTGGCATCTTAGTGTAGTTTTGATTTGCATTTCCCTGATGATTAGTGATGTTGAACATCTTTTCATGTGTTTATTGGCCATCTGTATATCTTCTTTGGAAAAATGTCTGTTCATCTTCTCTGCCCACTTTTTGATCGAGTTGTTTGCTTTTTTATTGTTCATTTTTGTGAGTTCCTTATATATTATGGAGATTAATCCCTTGTCAGATATATGACTTGCAAATATTTTCTCCCAGTTGGTGGGTTGTCTCTTTGTTTTGATCCTAGTTTCTTTTGTGTTGCAGAAGCTCTTTAGTCTGATGAATTCCCACTTGTTTATTTTTTCTTTTGTTTCCCTTGTCTGAGAGGACATGGTGTTTGAAAAGATCCTTTTTAGTTCGACGTCAAAGATGTACTACCAATATTATCTTCCAAGAGTTATATAGTTTCAGGACGTATCTTCAAGTCTTTGATCCATTTTGAGTTTATTTTTGTGTATGTTGTGAGATAATGGTCTACTTTCATTCTTTGCATGTGGCTGTCCAGTTTTCCCAACACCATTTATTGAAGAGACTATCTTTTCTCCGCTGTATGTTCTTGGCACCTTTGTCGAAGATTAGCTGTCCGTAGATGTGTGGTTTTATTTCTGGGGTTTCAGTTCTGTTCCATTGATCTGTGTGCCTGTTTTTGTACCAGTACCATGCCGTTTTGGTCACTATGGCTTTATAGTACATTTTGAAGTCAGGGATTGTGATCCCTCTTGCTTTGTTCTTTTTTTCTGAGGATTGCCTTAGCAATTCGGGGTCTTTGATTGCCCCATGTGAATTTTAGTATTCTTTGCTCTATTTCCGTGAAAAATGTCATTGGGATTCTGATAGGGATTGCATTGAATCTATAGATTGCTTTGGGTAGTATGGACATTTTAACTATGTTTATTCTTCCAATCCATGAGCAAGGAATCTCTTTCCATCTCTTTAAGTCATTATCAATTTCTCTCAGTAATGTCTTATAGTTTTCATTGTATAAGTCCTTCACCTCCTCGGTTAAATTTATTCCTAGGTACTTAATTTTTTTAGTTGCGATTGCAAATGGAATGATATTTTTGAGTTCTCTTTCTGTGAGTTCGTTATTGGAGTATAGAAAAGCAACTGATTTTTTGTAAGTTGACTCTGTACCCTGCAACTTTACTGTAGTTGTTAATTATTTCTATTAGTTTTCCAATGGATTTTTTGGGGTTTTCTATATATAAGATCATGTCTGCAAGCAGTGAGAGTTTCACTTCTTCACTCCCTATTTGGATTCCTTTTATTCCTTCCTCTTGCCTAATTGCTCTGGCCAAAACCTCCAGTACTATGTTGAATAGGAGTGGTGATAGTGGGCATCCTTGTCTTGTTCCTGTTTTCAGGGGGATGGCGCTCAGTTTTTGCCCATTGAGTATGATGTTGGCTGTGGGTTTGTCATATATGGCCTTTATTATGTTGAGGTAATTTCCTTCTATCCCCATTTTGTTAAGAGTTTTTATCATAAATGGCTGTTGGATCTTGTCAAACCCTTTCTCTGTATCTCTTGAGATGATCATGTGGTTTTTATTCCACAATTTGTTGATGTGGTGTATCATGTTGATTGATTTGTGGATGTTGAACCATCCCTGTGTCCCTGGTGTGAATCCCACTTGATCGTGATGTATGATCCTTTTGATGTATTGCCGAATTCGAGTTGCCAAAATTTTGTTGAGACTTTTTGCACATGACGTTTTTAATATATGATATAAAAAAAGTAATACTTGCTTTACTTTTTTCCCTAATTTAGGAGCTGTGACTGATGAGAATTAAAGGCCATGGATGAAGATGGACTTGAATTACAACCACAAGAGCCAAACTCATTTTTTGATGCAACAGGTATAACTACTTGGGTTGTTCCACTTCCCACCTACCACATTTGGAGTTGTTTATCAAGTGGACAAATTGTAGACTCTTGCATTGATATACACATTTAGTATCTTGTTATCCTGTCGAGTGTACAAATGTTAAAGTGAGCACATTATTATTCCCCTCCTTAGAAATTTGACTCTCTCACAACCAACTCTCATATTCTTGTCAGTAACAGCAGCAGTATCGAAACCTTAATGTTATCTTCAGTTATCTCATCTTGCCTAGTTATAGCATTAAGTCCTGTTAGTCCTCCCTTTGAAAATGTTCCTTGCTTACATCTCTTCATTCTACTTGCTACCACATTGACAGGCTCCGTCATCTCATTCTTAGTCTGCAATAACTTTTAAATTATTTTCCTTGCCCTTAGTCTCTTTTATCTAGCCCCCAGTCAGAGTACTCATTGTGAAATAACACATGGATCGTGTCATTTCTCTGTTTTCCATTACCCAGCAAGTAAAATATAAACCTAAGGCCCTCCACGTTCTGACCCCATCCTACTTTTACAACTCTGTCTTTCACAAGTTGACAAAAGGAGCCTTTTGCTTCAGGAAGATGGAGCCTTACTTTACTCCCCAAACCATACAAGGAAAATTAAATTCATGTAGTTCTGAAAATAGAAAAAAAAAATTATTCACAATTTTGGATTATTGATGGTTCCAATTATATAACATCATAAAGTGATTATGCTAGGTTTTATAATGTAAAATGGTTTTATATCACAGTAACTAGCTACCCTTATAAATAAAATGTTAACGAGTTTTCCAGTGGACTTGAAATGATTATATTGCAGTATATTAAGGAAACAGCATTAACTTTATCAGGAAATTAAATATTAGTGATTTTTAATTTTAACTTTTCTTCAGTCTCTAAATCCAGTGGGGATATGTTTATTTTTCTTAACAATTTGGGATAATCTTGACTCATACTAGGTAATTTCAGTTTGATAATGATAAATGCAAAGTTATAATTCTTTCTTCATTAGAACATTAAGTATAATTAATGTGCTTGAAAGAGAGACTAAGCTCTTTGGAGAAAAGCGCACAGTATTTGCTAGCTTAATCTTGCCACAAGCAAGCCTTGGTCATGGGCTAAGTGGTAGATTGAAGGGCTATTGCATTTTAGCCCTGATTGTTAACACTTATGGTGTTTGTTTATCTTTGAGCAAGTCACTTAATCTGCCAGGGCCTCCGTTTTCATATGTCCTAATAATAATGATACCTCTCATTACAGTTTTTCAGAACACTTCCCATACATTCCCATTTGATCATCACAACAGTCCTGTGAGGTATGCATGGCAGATACTACTATCCTCATTTTACTGATGAGGAAACCGAAACTCAGAGGTTAAATGACTTGCCCAAGGTCACAAAACTAATAAGTGTCCCAACTCTGCTCTCTGATTTAGATTTTGTAACCAGTGCTCTTGCCACTAAATGCTTTCATCTTCACGTCTGCAAAATGGAGATTAGTGATTTATTGCTTGTTGTTAATATTGAGAATATTGAAAAGAAATAAATATAAAGCATTTTGTAGAAGTTCTATGGAAATTAAAGCAAACACACTCTTTTTATTATTTCTAGATGTAGTTAAAATGGCTTTAAAATTTCCTACATTTTTTAAGGTTCTTTGGCCTTTATTGATCATTTGTGTTTGTTGAACAAAGCCATGTGTCTTTCTGAGGGCCTGGCTAGTGACACACCGTTGATGAGTTAGGGAACTGCTTGATCTCAGTCTGGTCTGAGTCACATCCAGAAGCACTAAGTGACTGAATAGCTTATTTTTAGGTAAGACTTTTATAAAACTTCGTTTTCTTTTCTCTGGACCAGGAGCCAAGATACTGGATTTGTTTTCTTTTATGTTGTGTTACATTATGTTTTTAGCAAGGATATCTGATTTCGATTTTGATTTGTGGCATTCGTTCAGAGTAATAATTAGCGAGCACCATAATCTGTGCAAACTGTGTGATCTTGGTGAAGTCATTTAATCTCACTGGGCTTCAATTGATTCCAACCCTCTACCTTCATTCCTTAACTGCAGAGTGGACTAGAGTAGGGTTTCTTATGTTCTGAGGAACCTCCTGGGGGATTGGGGTCTGGGGGCTGGGAGGAGGCCAGATGGAGGTAGAGTACCCTGTGAAGTTGGGGCGGACCCTGCTCCAGCTAACCTCTCCCTCCACCGCTCCAGAGCAGCTGCTCTTTTATTCATTTTATCTATCCACAGAGACTCCTTAACCAGTTGTCTTTCCTCCTTAACTGTGGCCTTCTAGCCCTTTTTTCATTTATGCCCTGATCCTTTTATATCCTAGATTCAGAGGATTAATTTCTAAATTTCCATAGTCATAAATGGAGGATATTGTATCAGAACAAAGGGGCAGAAAACAACAAGAATGGAAGGGAAGTAAAATAAATACATGGGAGAGATGGAAGGGAGAAAAATGAGTTGAGGAAAGATGGAGCAAGAAGGAAAAGAAATGAGAAACACATATAATGGAAAATGGTATATTTGCCACCTGAAGTTGCTTTACTTATTCATTTTTATAATCATCCCTTCTTATGTATATGGGTTTAATTTTAGTGAGCGGAGAATTCTATTTTCATGAATATTTTTCTTTTATGACTGCCTCAATTGCTTTGTTTTTCTGTTATTTCCTCATCTATTAATTGATGTGGGATGAATACAAAACTTCTGTTTCTGATATGATTCAAAAATAGATTCCCTCTTTATTTCTTTATCTATCTTAATGTTTGAGAAAACTGAGGAGCTAGTCTGTTTTCTTGGCAGAAATTAAATCACATTTACATTAATTGAGGTCGTCATGCATACCTACTTGAAATTTGTGATTTTAATTTTTTTTTTTTTTAAGGAGCTGATGCTACACACATGGATGGTGATCAAATTGTTGTGGAAGTACAAGAAACTGTTTTTGTTTCAGATGTCGTGGATTCAGACATAACTGTGCATAACTTTGTTCCTGATGACCCAGACTCAGTTGTAATCCAAGATGTTATCGAGGACGTTGTTATAGAAGATGTTCAGTGCCCAGATATCATGGAAGAAGCAGATGTATCTGAAACGGTCATCATTCCTGAGCAAGTGCTGGACTCAGATGTAACTGAAGAAGTTTCTTTAGCACATTGCACAGTCCCAGATGATGTTTTAGCTTCTGATATTACTTCAGCCTCAATGTCTATGCCAGAACATGTCTTGACGAGTGAATCTATACATGTGTCTGATGTTGGACATGTTGAACATGTGGTTCATGATAGTGTAGTAGAGGCAGAAATCGTCACTGATCCTCTGACAACCGACGTAGTTTCCGAAGAAGTACTGGTAGCAGATTGTGCCTCTGAAGCAGTCATAGATGCCAATGGGATCCCTGTGGACCAGCAAGATGATGACAAAAGCAACTGTGAGGACTACCTTATGATTTCCTGTAAGTCTTGGGGTACGGTGATTGTCAAAGAAATTTTTGAAGGCTGTCTTTCCTAACTTAATTTCAGGGGTGAAATTTTCTTGACTTTCATAAAATTAAAGTAAATCTCATAGACCTGCATTGTTGTTTCAGTTTGGAGCCTGTAAGATAACTCAAAGTTAAGAAAAGTGAAATGGTGCAGAGTAAAGAGCTGCTTCTCTATAAGGACGCAATAGAAAGATGAGATGTCTTCAGTCTAGAAAGACAAAGACGGAAAGGAATAGAACTGAACTTTGTGAAATCGTGAAGGATGTCATTAGGCTGTTACCAGCCTTTATTAGAATTAGGAACCCTCTTGAAACTTAAAAGGAGTTTAACTTGGAAAAAAGTGTATAACCGAACTACTTATATTCTTGTATATGGATGTACGCTACTATTTATGTAATACTTATATACTCACTCTACTTATATAATATATAAAATGCTATTTATATAACAGATAGCATGGAAAAGAGCTCTGGAACAGGATTGAAACATAAATGATTCCAAAGCATGATTTCAAGTATGATGGACTCATATTAAGTTATTGAAGAAAAGTAAGGTGTTTTGGAACATACGTTAGTCTGAGAGGGCAGCTGTGTCTTCTTGTGACATATTTTCTTGGTATCACTTTCAGAGATAAAATCGTCAGTTGGATAGACCACAGTTTTGACCCAGTATGGAGATTCTTATGCCTTTAGGAACTAAACTTCAGACAAATAAAGACTTACAGACCATTTGCTTAGATAAATTCACAAGACTATTTGCTTTGCTTGAATACCCATTATAATACAGGAATTTAATATAACATATAGTAGAGTCCACCAGCACTTTAGGAAATACCTTTTAAAAGTTCTTGAGGTTTTAGAAATCAATGAATTCTTTGTGTAAAGAGGAAGAAAACACCTTCATTCAATGCATGTTTATTGGGCCCTTACTATGTGTCAGACATTGTTCTAGGTAGTGCAGAAATGGATTTGTGCTAAATAAAAAAAGTACCTGAAACCATTATCCTTGGAGAGCTTACAGTCTACCGCTGGAGAAAAAGATAGGTTACGCTGTGATGCAGAGGTGTGACTAAATTACTGAGGAGACAGGAGGGAGTTGCTGACCTTTGAACTCAAGGATGAGTTCTGGTTTTACAAGTTAAAAAAGAGCATGGGTGGGAGGGAGACATTCCTGGCAAATGGTATAGTATGTAAAAACGGTCCTGGCCTCTGCTGGGAATGGTGGGAACTTTAGGATGTACTTGTATATCTTTGTGCACTTTGTTTAATTCCTTAGAATAAATTTCTAGAAATAGAATTGCTGGATCAAAGGGTGTACACGTTTACAAGTCTGGTTATATTGTCTCAATATTTATTTTATTTTTTTGGTGAGGAAGATTGGCCCTGAGCTAACATCTGTTGTAACTCCTCCTCTTTTTGCTTGAGGAACATTGTTCTTGAGCTAACATCTGTGCCAGTCTTCCTGTATTTTGTATGTGGGATGCCGCTACAGCATGGCTTGGTGAGTGGTGTGTAGGTCCGTGCCCAGGATCCTAATCCATGAACCCTGGGCTGCCGAAGTGGGGCACGTGAACTTAACCACTACACCACTGGGCCTTGCCTCAATATTTTTCCTAATATAACTCCTTTCACCAACTTTATGAGATTGTCTGTTTCCCTACACTCTGACCAACACGGAGTATTATTTTCATTTTTAGTTTTTGCCAATCTGACAGGGGAAAATATGGTATCCTGTTTCAAGTTTGAATTTATTTTAGGAAGATAATCCTGGTAGTAATATGGAATAAGAATAAGCATAGGTGAAGGAGAGATTAGTGGCAGAGAGTAGTTGAAATGGTTCGTGTATGAGATAAAGAAGATCCTAAGTACCTTCATAGTAATGGGGACAGAGAGAGGGAGCTGGATTCAAGAGAGATTAGGAAGTAAAGTGGATGAGGTTTGGTAACAGATAGAATAGGGGTGGGGATTTGAGGGAGAAAGACTTCAAGGAAGACCCTAAGACTTCTACCTTGGGAAATTGGGTACCTGGTCATGCCATTACCTGAGAGGAGGAATAGATTTAGTGGAAAGACAATGATTTAGGCCCTGTTAAAAGTTTGAGTTGCTTGCTGGGGACAATCTGGTGGATGTTTTCTCTAGGCAATTGAAAACATGAATTTGGTGCTTTTGAGAGAGTTTGTGGCTAAAGGAAGAAATTTGGGACAACAGAATATAGGTATTATCCTATGTGGAAATGGATGGTGGTCCCCAGAGAGTGCTTGTAGAGTAAGAGTCAAGTATGGATCCTTTGGGTATTTAAGGAGTAGGGAGAGGAGAAAAACCTGTGAAAATCAGGAGGTTTTGGGAATAGGAGGAGGCGAAAAACCTTTAAAGAGTGTTTTTAACACTGTAAGAGAGAAACAATTTCTAGAAGTGTCGGTCATTCAGGAGAGTGGGCTTTTTCGTTGGGCAATTAGGAGGTCATTGGTATCTTAATTAGAATAGTTTCCATAAAGCATGGGCTGATGAAGGGGAGATAGAAGAGATGAGCCGTAATGGATTGAGAAGTTGGCAGAGGTGGAGTACGTGAAGTGGTTTGTATAGATTGCCGTTTTGATCAGTGAAGGGATAGAAGAGGCAAGAGTACAACTTTTGGTGGTTGGCTGGATGGTGAACATGTGTTGAGCACATTTATAGGCTTATGGGTGCAGAACACAAACCATTGGATAGAGACGGACTGAAGATAAAGGAGGGGCTAAGAGATGGAGCAGGTTCCAGAGAAGAGGAAGGAGGACTGACATGTGAGTCCTAGGGAGGACGAGTGAATCCTCCTCTCGAGACAGGAAGGCAGTTAAGGATGGGGCCCCTATCCATAAAATTGGAGAGCCAGGGATGGAAAGTAAAAGGAGTGGTTGAGTGTTGGGAGCTATTTTCTCTGTGCAGCAAATTCATCTGCTAATGTAGAAGGACCTGCAGAGGTTGGGTGGAAACTGAAGGATAGTGGCGAAGGGTTGAAAAGCCTTTGCCTTATGGGGATGAGCTGGGGCAGGAAGCTAAGAACTTATAAGATAGATGGCTGAACTTTATTGAGGGGCCAGCTGAGATTGGGAGTCTTAAGTTTGTATGTAAGACACACTGTTTAGTATGAAAATGTTATTTTTAAACACCACTGCCAGATTTTCAATCACAAGACCAGGCAACCCAGGACAAGGCTGGAGAAAATAGGGAGTTGGCTTCGTCATGCTTTGTGAGGGGAAGAGGAGTTGGTGAAACACTTAAGAGAAAGCAGTCTCTGTTCTCTTTGATTTCTCTTTTTGTTTTCTGCCTTCTTCTGTCTTAAACTTGTTTGCTAAGGAGTAAAATGCATGGCATTGGTTTGACTTTTAGCTGCACACTATCTTTTGCCTTTATTACTGTTTTAGGAAGTTCACCCCTCCCAGAAAGTCATTAAAAAACCCTGAAGTTGCTTTAGTAACAGTTGACGTAGTATACTAGATTCCTGTATTACAGAGTCCAGACTTGTAAAATTTTCACTGAAAATCTTATAATCATCTTTCTTTTAGGCCCTGGGTTTCTGCTAATTTACATAGATTTTAACGTTCCTGAAAAAAGTAAATATGGATGAACACAAACTGCTATTGTAGTATATTTTAGTATATTTTATATATGTATATATAATATATAGTTTAATAATACAATGATAATTTATTCCTTTCCTTTTAAGATAGAATGTCACATCCAAGCTTGAAGAATACAAGAAACACACACACGAGTTATCTTACTCTATTTTACTATAATGAAATAGTTCGGTTGGTTTTAAATTGGGTTTAGAGATGGTGACTTTTGGTAATATCTTTTGTTTTCTCTATTATACAGGCACTTTGTCACTGTTTTTTCCTCCCCTCCACACCATCGTTCCTTTTCCCTTCAAAGTAATGATCATGGTATAACATTTAATTTACTGTTGGCTTTGGAATGAAACCAATTGAAAGCCTTGGAATTAATTAGCATTTTTCTTGTTTCAACCTCCCAGTAAAGATACTTCTTTTATCCTGCATTTTAGCTTACACAATATATTGATTTCACAAGTTTGGGATTGACAGAGGCTTTGTGGTAAGTGTATAGAGGAACTGTGGCCCGATTTTATCTGAGATAGAGAGTGCTGAGATGCCATTATTAGCGGTCAACTTGAATGCTTTTCATAATATGAGAGATGATGGTGTCTCTGAATTCCTATGATATTTATTCATCACTTCATAAGTCAAAGAAGAAAATGAACAGAAGTCCAAATACTCTTTAAAAATTTCAGTAAGTCGTTGAATCTGAGAGCCTAATAAGCAGCTTTTATAAAGTTTTTAGTGTCTATCTTGGCAGATTTCTTCCCTCTGAAGGTCTCATTTAAAATGATAAAGTATCAGTCCTCATTCTTTATAGTGTCATGGTAGTGTATATTGACACAAATGCTCGTTGTCACAGTATGGCTGCCTTTGAGGTCAATTCATCTAGTCTTTGCAGTCTAGATTATGATTCTTTCTAAATTGATTGTATGTTTCTTGAAGACAGGAACTGTCTAATGCATCTTAGTCACTTATGTGTCTTCCCCATGAAACTCTATACATATTAGGTGTGAAATATTCGTTGAATAAACGAATATACGAATACTGTAGCTGAAAGTCTAGATATCATGCCTCATCCAAGGTATTAATGATATATTTCTTCCCTGCTACTGGTTCTTACTTATTCTGGTCAGGCTAGATATCGTGTTACTGCTTTGTGGCACTTAGGAATTTTCTGGCGCTCTGAGAGGTGGAGTGTTTGAGTCATCCACTTGTTACTCAAGTTATTTCTTAGTTCTCCTTTAATCTGAGACAGCTGCCAGACATCCCTAATTTCTTTGCAGTGGTCTTCAGCCTCCTGGAGTTTCACTTTGCAGCTGTATAATCAAGATGCTATTTTGTGAAACATCAGTTTGTACAATGGGGAAAGTTGGAGGAG